AAATTCGCCTTACTGAACGATCATTAAGGCGAAGTGCAGCAGCATGTTTCCGGGCAGATCGAGTCGGACTGCGAAGAAAGACCTGTCGAACGCGTTCAACATTTTCAGGAGTTCGAACTGTTCGCGGCGCTCCTCTTGGTCTTCTGTTGATCAGTTCACCACGCCTGCGAAGTGATTCAACCCAACGAAGGATGGTGTTTCGAGAGGGAACGGCTCTATTCCGATGAATCTTGAAGTGGCGACGAAACTCACCCTGTACGACGATGACTGACTCATTATTTCGGACGAAACAATCATAGGAGAAAGCGCGGCGCTCCACTGTCCAAGGCTCCATAACGACAACTGGTTAAATAATGCTAGGATCTCACGAGTCAAACGGCACCCTCCCCACCTCTCTGCCGCACCCTGTATAAATACCAGCTCCTAAGTCTGACTCTATAGGGTTCTTTATTCAAAAATACTGTCATAACCGAATTCATACGTAAATAGAATACGCATGGAATTGACATTAGATATAGAAAGACTTTTTCAATCCGACGCCACAGCACATCTCTATTTCAGAACACATATATTTACAACGCAATCAAATTATATAATGCTTTGGACCGCAGTTTAAGAGAAACCTATTGCTCAAATCCAAGAAAAAAATTAAAGAAATTCTAATTGATCAGCAGCGAAATCTTTTGTAGTCTTCACTGACCTCATATTTTCTTTACGCCTACACATCAAGTATGCCTTATCATTATCGTTTTATGGTTTGTTCGTACAGTAGTCGGTAACTTGTCGGTGAATGTCAAAATCAGAATTTGAGAGATGTTAACTGTTCGTACAGTTTTTGACTGTTTGTCGACAAGTAATCCGCTGTTCGTACATAACCTTCTGAAAGATCAGAGGACACCAGTCAACCAGTGACAGTGACAGGTATCACAGTCTGTCGGAACTATCTTGAGAACTACCATTGCTTCGCAGATTAACCAAGAGCATAGGTCCTACGGACCGCTCTGACAGACAATGACGAATAGAATTGCTTGGCAAACGGCATTTAATGATCGATTACTTTCCTCTAATGGACGGTCTGGGGGCACTTTCGCACCGATGGACCGTTGGTGTCGCCGCGCGATATGCCTGCCTGACTTCGGCCTCCCATAGTAACCGTGTCGAACTTCGTACGTCCAGAACTGGCCGATATGACTGCTCCTTTGTCCCGAGGGTGTCGAGATCGTGTAACAATCTACATGAGGAGCTTTCCTCGGTTTTCCTAACTTTAGGCAGTTCAAAAATGGGAATAACAAAGTTTATTTAAGCTCCTCAATGCAGCCGCGGCGCCCTGGCATGAAGGCCTCACCTGCACGGCTGCTTCGGTGTAAAAAAAACTGAGCAATATACCAAGAAGATGAAGACCTTGAAGATCTACTGGAGGAGAGAATGGAACCCAAAACCCACAATTCAACAGCAACAAGTTTTTGTAACATTTTCGGCTGAGCAAGTGGCAGAAGAAATTTTAATGAAATTCCATTTCAAATATCAGCCAGCGCCAAAGTGCGTTGTGCTCAGTATTTTGTTTATCAACCTGGTAATGGCAAAATGAAGATTAAAATACAGTATGAAAAATCCGGACAACAGAGGACATAACTTTCAAGAACCATCATTAATACGATTTTTGTGATCACTAATCTCTTGAAATGCTTTGTTACAGTTACAAAATGCGAAACTACGCGATCTCAGTCTCACTTCCCACACCCAGTTTAAATGGTTCTATTTTAATAAAATTTTGTATAAGTACTTAATGCAGCGTAATAAGTAAATGATAAAAATTTCACAATGATTGCACTGCTTTAAAGCCCTTTGACCTTTAATAATGTGTGGATGCACCCTGATGTGCTACGCATTCTCCAACGCGCATAGGCATGCTTCTGATCAGGTGGTCAATGTCCTCCTGTGGTATCTCATTCCAGGCAACCACCAACTCCTCTCGAAGTGCTTCTAGAGTCTGAGGAGGACGTTGCAAATTGAGCAATCTCCTACCCATCATATCCCACACATACTCAATTGGGGATAAGTCGGGAGATCTTGGTGGCCATGGTAACAATGTGACATCATTATGTTGAAAGAAGTCTATTTTGACTCTTGCAACATGTGGTCGGGCATTATCTTGTTAGAAAGTTGGATCTGCCAGGGTGTCAAGATAGGGTAAAAGATGGGGTTCTAGAACTTCGTGGATATAACGCTGCGCGTTCATGTTACCTCTGATGAAGATTAAAGGTGACCTGGAACCATAAGCTATAGCACCCCAAACCATAACTCCAACAGTGTGATGAACATGTCTTTCAACAAAAAACTGTGGATTCCTCCTTTCACCACGTCGCCTTCTAACCCTGGCACGACCATCGTGCATGCCTGAACAAAATCGAGACTCGTCACTAAAGACAATGCTGTTTCATTTCTGATCCCAGAGTGACCGTTGTCTGCACCACTCAAGGCAATTACGTCGGTGTTCTCGAGTTAAAAGGAGTGTGGCCGGTATGAAAACAAGCCAAAACTCCTCATTCGTCGGTAAACACTTCGCATGCCAATAGGTCTTCCGTGTTCTGCAAACCATTCATTTGCAATGGACCTGGTAGTGGAGAAACGGTCCGTTAAGGCCAATAATCTTAGGCGGCGATCTTCACGGTCTGTTGTTCTATGGCGGCGTCCAGTGCCCCTTGCTCTTTGCGTACGGTTTTCTCGAAGCCATGCCTGACAACACCTAACCACAGTGTCTACACTTCTTTGCACTCTAACTGCAATTGCCCGAAAAGAAAGTCCAGCTTCCCGAAGTCCCACTATACGGCCCCTATCAAACTCACTAAGTTGACGAAATCGTACAGGTCTCCGTACTCTAAGCATCGCAACCGATCGTAAAGGATGTCAAGAACCAAAATCCACCAACGTTGATTCTTTACTGCGGCTGAAATATTCATCTTTAGAGCGTTAGTGAATTAAAAAAAAGCAGTATAAAAACCGGAATGTCCAACTGATAAGGCTGAAAATTTTTTCACTTGTTATTTACAGTAAGATAAATACATTCACCAACTTTTATTAAAATAAAATCATTTAAACTGGGTGTTCGGATTTATATGTCACTTAGTATATTTTCGTAATGTCAGTTCTTTTTGTCCATGTTGGAAATTCTGTGAAATATAGCTATGTAAGCGGATCTTTTAGCTTTTTAGTGTATAACAACCCTTTGTTATTCAAAGACGTTATTAAATCGTTGTAGTATTTTTACTTCTTTCTTCTAGTGAGAGTCTGCATATACAGGGTGTTTCAAATTCAGCACTCACCATTGGGATACGAAGTCGCTTAAATGGGGGTAGTCAACAAATTCCCACTTAGAAAGTTTCAAAATTCAAGGTACTTCCGGAGAGTGACGGAAAAATTAAAATTTCCCAAAATCGTTTTGATTTTTCCCTGACTTTATTCATATAGGGATTTTAAAATAAATTACACGTTAACATTACCGCGTTTTCTCCTCTATAAGAAGGCATAATCAGAATTGCAACTTTATTATTTCTTAAGGACGCTATATTGTATTTTTGCACAGATAAATAGAGATTTTAATTTTGATTAAAAAATGCATAATATGTCATACATTGACGTTGCCAAACCTCAGTCACTTGAAAAAACAGAATTTCTCAAGAAGGCTTTGAAATTATCAGATATTTTTTCGCTCATCAGATTTATCCCAAATCGCTTTATTTGTTCCTGACTTTATTTGAGATGGGATTTCAAAATAATTGAATATTGTCATTGTTACTTATTCTCGGCTACAAGATTGCGTAGTCAAATTTTCGATTCGACATTTCTTCTTTCGACTTCCATCGTCAACTGTTTTTCCTTACTTAAACTATATTGAAATTTTGTACATTTAAATGGATATTTCAGCCCTAAATTCAGTGATGTATTTCGTTAAATATTTTGTTTGATGAAATTTATAAGGAAATAAAAAGATATAGTGTAACCTGAACACGAAATGAAAATGCTAATGATGGTAATAACAATAATAACCATGAATAAAAAGATGTCTTCACAGTCTTCCAAACTCTGTTGCTATGAAAACAAATGAAATCTGATAATTTCAGGGTCTACCTAGGAACTTCTGGAATAACTAAGGTTTTGCAATGGGAATCTACGACATATGGGTGTTTATCTGAAATTTGGTTAACTTGGTGTTAGCATGAATTTTCACAATATTAAAAAATATATATCCTATATCTGAAACTACTAAGCGGTATTTTATAGTCTATTTAGTTCGGTCACCAATTTTGATAAATATCATAATATTCTTTATTTCAATAAATTGACATTTTTTACTCCAAATATCATGTAAGATCTCCCAAATTTAGTATTCACGTCACTGTAATCTTATTGTATTAAATAATAATTTGATGAAACTCTATTTAAATTTGTTTACTATTACATTGCTTACAATGTCATTGCGATTTAATGTATAAAATAATTTTGTTTGATCACATTATTTCAAGTCAAAGGTGTAAGCGATAAAAAATATCAGGCCCTAGTCATTAACGAAATTCAAAAATACGCGGCGTTAAAACATATGCCTTATTCATAACTCACTCAATACGGTAGCATCGGTGTGTAGTTGGTTGCAAACACGAGCCAAGCCGCGGCAGCAATTTTGCTATTAGTGTGGTAACCGACTTTGCTGCGGAAACACGTGCTGTGCCAGTCAAACTCTCAGGCCCTAGGTAAGTCGTTTTAAACATATATAATTACTCATTGATCTCATTACTTATTGAATGTATGAGCTAGGTCTGCTTTGTTATTTTGACCGCCTATTGATTTTATAGTGATTTAAAATAATAGCTTTCATTTGATTTTGCTTCGTTTCGTCAGTCCCTAGACCGTCAGGCCCTAGTCGTAATAGTGACTAGGGCCTAATGCCACATCTAGGGACTGTGTGATGCATAGTTTTAATCATAATAATGTATTTGTTGTAGAATATGGCGCCTATAAAGAAAAAACCTTGTCTAAAGAGGAAATTGCAAAAAAAAGTCTGAACAGGCAAAGAGGCGATTGGAAAAAATTAAAAATGATCCTGTTTTGCTGGCGGAGTACAAAGAAAAGGAACGACTAAAATATCTAAAGAAAAAGGAAAAAGGACAACGGAAGTGTGTAAAAGACATGACTCCCCGTGAGCACAGAAAGGCAAGAAAAAATTGGGTAGCCTATTCGTCGGATTATAGAAAAAAACAAAAGATTCGTGACAATACAGATAAATACGTGGACCAAAATACGCCGCCATCATCGGAAGATGAAATTATTCCTGAGGCTCCTTTATTAAATAATGAAAGAGAAGCTGAAGCTAGAAGGAGGAGTACAGTTCAACGGAGAAAAAGAAATAGTATGTTGAAGAGGAAGGACTTACTCATTGAAAATTTAAAGAAGAAACTTGCCAGCGAACAACAAAGAAACAGAAGACTGAAACATAGAATGATACAAAAGAAGCAAGCACTGACACCAGAAAGTAAAATTGTAGAAATGGCCAACGATCCCAATCAAAAAGCAGAATTGATAAAAAAAGCGTTATTTGGCGATATTATTCAAAGGAAAATTTTAGATAAAGAGATTCAGACACCCAAAACAAAAACCTGCTTAAAAACGATTTTGTCAAGTCCACTGACACATAAATATGAAATATGGAGACTTGGAAACACAGCCATTACATATAAAAAGATGGGATTTAATCGTACAAAATATGAAGATATGCGAAAAAAAAAGAGAGTTGAAGAAATCATACACAAGTTTTATGAAGATGACAATAATAGTCGTTGTGCGGCAGGAAAAAAAGAGTGCATCACTCGCAAAAAAATTAAAAAACAAAAAAGATATTTGCTGGATTCCTTGAAGAGCTTGCATCAAAAATTTCACAATACGAGTTTGATGAAAATTGGGTATAATTATTTTTGCAAATTGCGTCCATTTTGGGTTGTTGTGCCTAAGCTTACAGACCGTGATACCTGTGCTTGTGTTATTCATGAAAACATTAATTTGAAGTTAGGTGCCTTAAAAAATTCAAACGTTCTTGACTTTGCCACATATCAAACTGCACTGGAAACAATTTGCTGTGATCGTTACTCGGAAAAATGCTTAGCGAGAACTTGCCAGGACTGTTCATTGAAGATTTTACCATATAAGGAGTTTGATAATAGTAAGGACATGGCAGTCAAACAATGGAAGCATAGCAAGGAATTGATTAAGGACATTAAAACTAAACAGGACAGATACGTCACAAAGTATAAGAAAGAGATATGCAATTCAAAACCTCGTGATTTAGTTATGCAATCAGAAGACAGTGATCTTCCAAAATTATTCCAACATGAACAGAACATCGTTCATCAATATAAAACTATTAAATCTTTGAAAGAGTCACATACAGAAAAGGATGCAGTAATTCACATGGACTTCTCAGAAAACTACACAACTAAATGCAACCAAGAAATTCAGTCGTATCATTTTGGCGGCTCCAGGACTCAAATTTCTTTGCATACAGTGGTGGTTTACACAAAGGATAAAGTAACATCCCATTGCACTGTGTCTTTAAATTTATCTCACAACGCTGGAGCCATTTGGGCACATTTACAGCCTATCCTCTTAGGATTGCCATCCTCTGTAGAAAACCTGCATTTTTTTAGTGACGGTCCTGTAACCCAATATAGAAATAAAACAATGTTTTATATTTTGGGTTGCAGAATCCAACATTTCTATCCACTTGCTATAAAATATACGTGGAATTTCCATGAGGCGGGACATGGGAAAGGGGCACCTGATGGAATTGGAGCTACATGCAAACGCTCTGCAGACCAACTCATAGCTCAGAGAGGTGACATTACGAACTTGTACGACTTTGTAGCTGTGCTTCGAGAAAGGTGTCCAAATATAAATATCTCTGTTATCGAAGATGTCGACATAGAATAAGTTAACAAAATGATCAAGGAACATGAGAAAGAGCAGAAACCGTTTAAAGGAACTCTCTTGGTGCATCAAGTCTCGGGTCATATTTATAACCCTAATAAACTTGTCTTGAAGTTGCTTCTGTGATAATGACGGTTGTGACCATTATAGGTTGGGGACTATTACGTACCAAACCAATACACAGCGGCTTCAAGTTTCAGATATTTTCACAGATTCTGAAGATGATATGCCGTTAGCAAGTATGAGCCACATTGCACAAGAAAAGTCAAAAACAAGCTACGGCGGTGGCGATTATGTTCTAGTTAAGTTAATAATGAGAGGAAAAGAATACCGATACGCCGCAGTTTGCTCAAAATATAATGACGAAGATGGAGAACTGACAGTTACATTTCTTAAAGTTTGCAATAAAGATGGCACAGAATTTAAAATAAATGATAATGATATCGCCGACGTACCTTACGAAGACGTTATAGAAAAACTGCCAGTTCCTAATATAATCGTCAAGAGAAATATAGTCCTTCACAAATTTAAAAAACCCATTAATGTCTACGAGAAGTAAAACAAATAGTGAAACAAATAAATAAGAGGTACTAGATAGTTTAAGTGCGAAATATTTGTGATCTCATAATAATTAATGAAAGTCTGAATGTTGTGTTCAAATTATAATTTGGTAACTCAAAACTTTAGAAAGCTGATTATTTAAAATAATTGTTAATTTTTAAAGAACTATTAGTTTGTAAGTATTAAACTCAAAGTATAATTTGATTGTTGAGAAATACTGATAGATTATTTTCAAGTGTATAATTAAAAAAATAAATCCTGTACTGTGATTATAAATCATAGAATTTGTGAACTTAAGAGATTATGTTGTTGTTACGGTTGATTTTGCAATAAAAAATGTGATTTGACATAATAACCGTATTTGGTGTCAGTCCCTATCACTTGTCGTCAGTCCCTAGAACACTGATTTTAAAAAATCATAAATTTCTCTGAAAATATCAAGTAAAGTGACTGGCCCTTTTAGATGCAGCAAAGTAGATGTTATACCTACAGCATAGAATATAAGCTGTTCTGATTTTTAACTAAAAACACCACCTTCAAAATTACATCAGAAGTTAACCAAATTTCAGATAACCACCCATATACATTTTTGAAAACAGAATAAAAATTCTATTCATGTGTGTCAAAATCCAATACGGCGTCTATAAGATGAAATTAATTGATGCTGGAGGACAAGAGACGAAACGTCAATTGAAATTCTAATCATGCCGTCTTGTAGGATGAAATGTAACAGAGTTGTAGTGCAATTTTTTTTTGAAATCCCACCACAAATAAATTGAAACTATTTTGGGAAATGTCGTTTTTCATGTCCCTTTCCGGAAGTACTTTCAATTTCAAATGCTTCTGAGCGATTATCTGAATACGCAACTTTGCCAATATTTAAACAACTTCGTATCCCTTAAAGCTTCTGAGATCTCAATGGTGAGGGTCGAATGTGAAATACTCGGTAAAGAGAAAATATTATTTACAGTTTTCGTTCGCTGCTCGTTACGGTTAGACGTGTTTTTAGTCGCTCTCGTTTTTTGGTCGTTTTTTGTAGTGTAAATAATCTATTGCAAAGTGGTGTTAGTGTGTTGAAAGGAATGTAAAATTGTATACAACTTCACCCAACCTAAAGAATGGATACAAATTTAAAAGAAGAACTGAAAAAGAGCGGCCGAAGTAGTAGTACCCTTAGCACACTTAACTTACAAAAAGAGGAGGTAAATAAAATAATCCTTGGCAGTGAACATGTTCCCAATAAAAAAGCAACAGAGATAAAAGTTGGTGCAAAAAGGTGTGGTACTAACGAAATGGTAAGAGTGCATGAAAGAAATCTGCAAGGTGATAACACAAAATCAGATAACAAAAGTGATACAACATATACTAAGTGACATATAAATCCGAACACCCAGTTTAAATGGTTTTATTTTAATAAAAGTTGGTTAATGTATTTATCTTACTGTAAATAACAAGTGAAAAAATTTTCAGCCTTATCAGTTGGACATTCCGGTTTTTATGCTGCTTTTTTTTTAATTCACTAACGCTCTAAAAATGAATATTTCAGCCGCAGTAAAGAATCAACGTTGGCGGATTTTGGTTCTTGACATCCTTTACGATCGGTTACGATGCCTAGAGTACGGAGACCTGTACGATTTCGTCAACTTAGTGAGTTTGATAGGGGCCGTATAGTGGGACTTCGGGAAGCTGGACTTTCTTTTCGGGCAATTGCAGTTAGAGTGCAAAGAAGTGTAGACACTGTGGTTAGGTGTTGTCAGGCATGGCTTCGAAAAGGCCGTACGCAAAGAGCAAGGGGCACTGGACGCCGCCGTAGAACAACAGACCGTGAAGATCGCCGCCTAAGATTATTGGCCTTAAGGGACCGTTTCTCCACTACCAGGTCCATTGCAAATGAATGGTTTGCAGAACACGGAAGACCTATTGGCATGCGAAGTGTTTACCGACGAATGAGAAGTTTTGGCTTGTTTTCATACCGGCCACACTGGGTCCTCCCTTTAACTCGAGAACACCGACGTAATCGCCTTGAGTGGTGCAGACTACGGTCACTCTGGGATCAGGAATGAAACAGTATTGTCTTTAGTGACGAGTCTCGATTTTGTTTAGGCATGCACGATGGTCGTGCCAGGGTTAGAAGGCGACGTGGTGAAAGGAGGAATCGGAAGTTTTTTGTTGAGAGACATATTCATCACACTGTTTAAGTTATGGTTTGGGGTGCTATAGCTTATGGTTCCAGGTCACCTTTAATCTTCATCAGAGGTAACATGAATGCGCAGCGTTATATCCACGAAGTTCTAGAACCCCATCTTTTACCCTATCTTGACACCCTGGCAGATCCAACTTTCCAACAAGATAATGCCCGACCACATGTTGCAAGAGTCACAATAGACTTCTTTCAACATAATGATGTCACATTGTTACCATGGCCACCAAGATCTCCCGACTTATCCCCAATTGAGCACGTGTGGGATATGATGGGTAGGAGATTGCTCAATTTGCAACGTCCTCCTCAGACTCTAGGTAGCACTTCGAGAGAAGCATGCCTAGGCGCGTTGGAGAATGCGTAGCACATCAGGGTGCATCCACACATTATTAAAGGTCAAAGGGCTTTAAAGCAGTGCAATCATTTTGAAATTTTTATCATTTACTTATTATGCTTCATTAAGTACTTATACAAAATTTTATTAAAATAAAACCATTTAAACTGGGTGTTCGGATTTATATGTCAATTAGTATATAATGTTGACGTAGTATTCATACCAAAATCTTCAATTTCTCGTAACCCACCTAAAGTAAGCCAATAATACCATAGAAGCCACGCGGACATTCTTACAGAACACTACCCTAACATTGAAAAAGGTAAAAGACCCAGATCGCAATCTAGTCCAGGGGCAGAAAATGTTAGTAAAAGGCTGTGTCATGAAGTGAAAAACTGTATGACGGAAGAATTAATTCAAAACTTTTTTAATGAAATTGATACCATAAGCAGGCGCATCGATAGAGAGCATCGTACAAGCCACTATGAATATACAAAAATTACTGACACAAGTTGTGTACAAAGTCAGTCAGCTAGAAAAGGAGAATGTAGCGTTAGCAGCTAGAA